CCTTCCTAAGACATATGATACAACCACACATGGACAGACAAATACAGAATGCTTCCATTTCTGTGTGAATGCAGCATTGAGAAGGAAAAAAAAAAAGTCAGAATCTGCCAGCATTTGATGGCAACTAGCAAGTCATTGCAGAGAAAACCTTTTGAAGAATGCAAACTGCTTAAAAAAGCAGGATGTTAGAAAAAAAGCAGAAACAGTGAAATTTCAAATCTGAAACTCTTACCAGAGTTAGCTGGAATTTATTCCAGTAATGAAGACTGCATGACAGCATATGTATCTGTGCACACATCCACATATTCACCCAGCTATACAAGTATAACCACACTGAGTTCCCTCCCACAAAAAAAAATATTTTTATTCTTTAACATCAAAGTTTTCTTTCAACTAAAATTTCAATAAAAGCTAGATAGAAACACAGATTTTATTTTTCTATGCAGAAAAAGAACAGATGTTTTGGGCCTCTTGACCTACACTGAAATTTGTGGTCAGGCTGTGATCTCTGCACTTCTAGAAGGAAACAGAGCTTTAACAACTATGTGGTACTAGCTCTTGGACTGAGATGGACTGATTTGCATTTGTGCCACAGGACAGAAGGCAAGCCAGGGAGGAGTACATATTTTCCCCCATGAAGCTAAGCAAAAGGTTAATATAATTCCTCTTTCAATGTTTCTGTGAAGACACTTGCAAGTAAAACAGGGTGCTAGTTGGAGTCCAGAGCTGGAACAGACCAAGACATCTAACAGAAATGAAATCAGAAAAGTTTAGTGTGTGAAGGCTGATTGAAAATGCACTCAATGAAAATGCTGGAAATATAGTTCCTATTGTACAAAAGATCAGATTTAAATAAGTTGGTTTTGAAAACCAATGTGAGAATAATGATATATTATTCTAACAGATATCTTATGATTAGTCACCAAAATGTATTATCTTTTTAATCTAATCAATTAAGAAGGGGTTTTAAGAGTAGGAACTGGAAGAACTATTAAAATAAATCTCCAACTGTCATCAGTGCTTCAGAGACAGGCACTCAGCTTAAGAAAAGGCAAGAATTATCTACCCCCACACAAAGGATTTTCTCTTTATGTATAGAAAGTGCTTAGTACTTCTGAGATAGCAATCTCTAATCAAAATTCTAATCAGGTTGAAGAATAAAATCCTACCAAATGCTAACCTGAAATACTACCCTTCCGGCGAGGACATAAAATATGTATCTTGCTTCACCAAAGGAAAATATAAAACACAACTTCTTGTGAATAAATCCATTATTTATTGCAGCATATACTCCTAAGTAGCCAATAAATTCTTCACACAGAGAGAATTGTTTTATTTTACTTTGGAACAGCCCAGCCAGAAGCTTCTGATGAAACACAGTTCCAGAAGTCGCAGAGAATTTTTATTCTCAGCATATTCTTTCTCAAGTCTTTTAACATCTCATCTTCCTTCTCCCTTGCCCTTTTCCTTAGCTCCAACCTAAGAATTTTCAAGGATCATATCACTTTCTACCATACTATTCAATAAAAAAAAAAAAACAACTCAGAAATAAATTCAACCTCCTGCCAAAACAATATGGATAGAAATCAAAGATGCATGAAGAATGGCTGAATGTCAATCGTTCAAGACAGATCAGTTAGTAGAGCTAGAAGTCAAAAGAATAATACCACAGGTATCTACAAAATGTTCATACAAGTTGGACAGATGGTTTCTTTTTAATGAGAGAATGCAAATCATCAGAAAAATGTTTTAGTTTATAAACCTGATGACAGGGGACACGTATGTTTGTGCATACAAACCCACTCACTAAAGGACCACCCCAAGCCACGATCTCTAATATTACATCTCAGTACAAATTATTCTAAAGGATCTGTCTGACTCTTTCTTGCAGCAGGAAGAACTATAACACAGTCATTTCATTGACCTTACTGAGAGTTGTAATATCATTTCAATGACACAGGTGATGCGTTTGAAAAGGACTTCTTTTCAAGTCACGTTAATATTCTCCATGTCCCTGAAAGGAAGTTAGATGACTCTTTCTAGAAAGAGATATACTTTAGTATCAAACTTTATAGGTATTATAATTACTGATGAGCTGTAGAAACTGAATCTTTCATGATATGGATACACAGAAAGCCTCATCGTGACATCAAAGTATTACTGTATTACTAAATGTTTTGTACACAAGGGTCAGTGGGACCTTAGGGGTTTGTAGGTTCCCTCTTCTGCCTGCCAGTGACCCTACTTACTCTGGGAGGATGGGAGAGAAAAGGAAAAGAAACATAAAAGCATTGTGTAGTACTGTAGCCAGTTCGGATACAAGTAGTGTCGATATTACAGCAGTATCTGCATACATGTATTGCAGAAGAGTTTGGTACTACATAGAATGCAGAGAAACACAAAGCAATTGAAACTATTGTGGTAGTAATGAATCTTCCACTATGAACTATCATATGCAGTGGTACTTACCATATTTGTATGGTGCATAAAGAGAGGAAGATGAAAGAGTTATGATCATTATCATCACATAGAGGAAAAATGGTGATTACACAGATGAAAACTGCCCTTGTGTATGGGAATTTATAAACAGCTCAGAGCTCTGTAAATCTACTTTAGTACCATTTTTACACACAAGACATTAATTAATCCACATTAGAACTGAAATTTATAGGTTTACTATGCAAACCACATTACTCCTTATAACTAATTGTTTGAGGATTACACTTCACCATATGTTACATGATGCCTACAACGTGATTTAACATTTTTGCTGTTCAGTTTACAACTTCATCTTTGAAGAATCCATGATACTGTAACATCCTCCTAAAGGCCAGTTCTATACTACAGATGCCAGTAAGCAGTGCTATGTTTGCCATGCATGGGAAGATATAAAATACCTGTGCTAACGAGGTACAACTTGGCCTAGCAGTTTCTTTGGTATTATTACAAGGTGTAATTTTGCTATGATTACAAGAATTTCATTGAGATAATATATAGATATGTGAAAACAGTCTAGTGTTACATACAAACTAAGGCAATGGCAGAATGGTCACTGAAGAAACAGCAGTTTCAGTTGAAATGTTACTATTCCCAAGTATTTGTCCCTGTTACTCCACAGAAGATTAATACTCATCTAAAAAAGGCAGAAAAATAGATCATGGGGGCATTTCTCATTTGCTTTAGTGCAAAGGCATTTGGATAAAGTAAACCCAACATAGAAAGCTGTTAAGTGTTTCTGTACTGAAGCAGAAAGGGACAGCACAAACGATCCATCTTTCACCAGTGTCTTGTTTGGGTGTGATAGCCTCTGGCAATGGGAGATGATTTCTGCCAGAGACTTAATGACATAGCTAGAAGAGGGTAACACATTTAGTGAACATAACCATTTTTCAGAGAACATCTGACCATACTTTGCTCTATTACCCTGTGGATCAATGTAGGTCAACAGTATCCTTAAATCAAATGCAAGGAGATGCCAGAGGACACTGCAACAGTCTTTGGGATAGCACCTCCATTCTATCAAGAACAGTATCTTAGAACCCCTCCATGATGAATTAGGATATTTTCTTAGTGGGTCTCACACATGTAGACCCTATTTTTGTTTTGTGACCCCCACAGCAGTCAGAAGAAAGGTCAAAGAAGAATTTAATATTTTATATTATCATAAAGAAAATAAAATCATTCTAGCAATTTGCAACTAGTAACAAAGGTTTGAAATAAATTAAAAAAAAAAAAGACACACTGAGTGAAATAATTCCCCTTGCTCTATCTCTATTTATAATAATTAAAACAAGGGAGAACAGGTTCCAGTTATAAAGAACTTCTGTGGTGCAGACACCTTTGCAGGTGGACATGTTAGGATACAAATGCTCCTTACAAGAAATATGTAGAATCATGGTATTGTTGATTGCCTTTCACTTACAGCATCACGTTCAGGCCAAGCTACAGCCTAAACAATAGCCATAGGAGATTATTATCTCTTAGGCACTTAAGAAATTATTCTGCATCTTCATTAAAATTAAAAACTGGACTTTAAAAAAAGTTAAGTGTAAAAAATACTTATGTTGTTTAAATATTATTGCGTATCTATTACTAAAATTTAACACAATCAATGCTACAGTCTTACAACATTTACTTTGATACTATTCTTTTCAGTTTTTGGTAGGCTGAAGCTTTTCTGCATAGACAATGCATTGTTGCAGGAATGAGGGGGTGCTGGAAGCTTGGGAGACAAGGGTAAAGGATGCCAATACCAGAGTGGGAACACTACCAAGATTGAAGGAAAACACACCAGCTGAATGTTCCTGCTTTTAATCTGCAGTTAAATAGCTGGCACTGCTGAGATTAAAATAGGCTGATTGTAGATTTTAAGCACAATGTATTGCCATAAGTGGTCCACTTTGTATCTCTAAGTTTAATTAAGTCTCTTCACTCAGGTAGATCAAGATCTGAAGACTGTTTTTCAACCAGCAAAACTAGAAGCTCATTATAAATACAAAAATTGATTAGATTATGGGTTATAATTTTACAGTTGTCAGTGGCCAGGGATTGTGGAATTTTATACCATCTTTACAACTAGTAAATCAATAAATACATACAAAGCCTGAACTTGCATTCTAAAAATATCCTATTCATTTTCAGACTTGGTAAGTAGAGACAATGAGAGTTTGAAACGTTAGTACTACTAGCTGTCACGATTACTGTACATAAGCCACTATGAACAATTGCTTTTCCAGAACAAAGCACCCCATCCGTACAGGCGAGGGGACAGCTCTAAGAGTTCGGTGAGATTCAGCATACCGCATCCCTAGGCAGCACAGAGCTCAGGAGCAGGCTGGTTAGTAACAACACTAACACACAGGGGTTGTTCTAATTCTAAACAGTCAGATGAAGACAGCAGTTCAGGGCAATGACTAGGACAAGGCTCATGCTAAATTTAATCACTTCCACACCTGGTGAGAAATTCACAGATACCTAGCAAAATAGTCATTGCCACCCACCTTCTGTGGTGACTGGGAGGGAAATCTCCATGCAGGCTGCAGACTGCGCCTTTCTAAAGGGGGGCCTCCCAGGCCCTCGGCGGTTTGCTTTTGAGACGTCCGCGCTGGAAAGTCGTTTTCCTGCACTGCAGCTCTGGGATGTTGGACTTGTACAGTGACCATTCACGTGATCTGGAAAGTGAATGCAAAATGTGCTAGGTAAAGTGCCAGCTCGCAAAATTCAGAATGGAGGAGAGATGTTAGTGCTGATATTTGAGAATGGGTTAAATTAGATCTTCTGAGAGTAACCTTTTTTGTTTGTTTTATCAATGCAGCGCATATATGTAAGAATAACTCACCACATCTTTAAGGTATATTTTGAAATAAATTGAGGGATATAGAACTGGTACACATTCTTAGAGCTGCGAATCCCACAGCATTTTATTGACCTCTGTGCATGGGTAATCAAGATAAGGTGGGTAACGCTGTCATCCTTGATGTTGTGTCTCCTATTAGATACCAAAGAAATTTGAAAACTCTCTTTCCTTTTTGCTCTCATAAAGAACTGCAGGTGTAATTTACTGCAAGATTGAGCTGGACAACCTCCCTACCTGTCTAGAAGCTGCAATGACACAGGTATTTAACTGCCCCTATTTGTGACAGTTATAAAACTAACCATAATGTTGCAAATTATTCTTTATATCCCACATAGATTTATCTTACTGCTAAAGAAACTGACTGCTGAACAATATGTTTGTCTGCTACAGAACTAAAGATGTGAGGCTGAGTCCCTGGAACCCTGCTAGAGGCCGTGGTCAAACAGCACAGCACATGCTGCCATCTGATGAGGCAGGGAACAAAACACAGTTGCCTGAAACGCTGCCTACATTTGTCTGTTCTTCATCACTGAAAACAGGTCTTAAGGCCACAACAATCCACTGAGCAAGACTTAGATCAGATTTTAGAGTGGGTTGGATGGGATCAATGGACTATAACACATTCGTACAATACTACACTTCCCCTCACATCAGGTACACAAATATGAGGTGAAGAATTACTGAATGCAATTTTCCCTTCAGCTTATGAAAAGATATACAGTCGTGTATAACTGACTTATTTTTGGTCAGCAGATAATCCAGACTTGTTAAGTAAACAGCTGGTCAGCTATTCAAAACAATGAAAGCTCAATACTATAGGTAAGGGTGAGCTTGAAGTTTCTACACCCGTTTTAAATGTCAGGTTATTTATATCTCAGAATTAGTCTTTAGGTTTCTATATATGAGTATATTCAGTATATCATAAGTCTCGTCAATTTTTACTGTATCCAAGGAAAAGATGAATTTTAATACACCAAGAAAAATTAGTTTCTTTTTTACCATGCCATGATAGCACCACTGTACACAATGAAAAGCTATTTCTACGTTCAGGTGATAAAACAGATTCTATACTGAATACAGCATATAGTGTGCTATTATACGTAGTCTTCTAACGTGCAAATCATATCCTTTACTTGTGAAAGCAGTTCTGTCTCGATGAACAAAACAGGAAAGAATTGTTCAGAATTATATTTTAGAAAGCAATTAGTGTCTATACTAAGGCTGAGTATCTATAATGAAACGGCTCTGTAGGAGACACAACGTTAATGATTCCCATCATGTTTCTTAATACATAGCTATTAACTGAGCTAACAGCAGATATCAAACTGATGTGGATGATTCATTCAAGTTATATTTAGGAAATTTTCCAAAATATACTGGAACTATTCATATATTTCAGCAGAATGTCCTTTGAGATCGGGGCTTTGTTCAAGGGCACAGGCTGACTGTTCAACCTCAGCAAAAGATACATCCTCATCCAGCTGCTTCCTTTCTTCAAAATTCAGTTTGTGTGAAGGAGTTTCAGCATGATATCTAATTATCTCCAGGGGGATCCTAGGAAGTGGTGAGGAACATAACAGAGTAAAAAAGAATCATATTCTATAGAAACATCAACAGTATTTATGAGTCCCTTTTCCTGAACATTGTGCAGAATGGACACAATTCATCTCAACCCCTATTCACTGTGCTATATTTTAAGAGAAATTCTGCTGTTTCTTTTAGTACGTTTGCTTGTCTCAGTTTACTTTCACAGGCCAAAATTAAACAAATAATCAACAGCTTCTGGGCACCTAAATCCCTTTAGTTGTCTTTCTGAATAAGCAAAGCCAGTTCCCGTATAAAGAACAAATCAGCTGCAGGGACATCCTTCAAGTACTGAAGTCGGTGAAACGTTAGTGAATGCTAGAACAATGAGTGAAAGGGGGAGTTTAGTGATCAGTGACACACTCTTCTATACTTTAACACAGCTCTGTTATTCTGATTAGATATTATTTTTCAACTATACATCAAGGAGCAATACAGCTCTGCAAACCTTAATTAAAAAAAAAAAAAACAACAACAACAAAAAAAGACATTGAAAAAAATAATATAATTCTGGGAAGTAGGACTACAACATTTTTTGCTGAGAGGTTAAGAATCAAGCAGATAAATCCAGTATGCATTTACAAAGGAACCTACGTGCATATTTTTATGGTATAAGCTCAATGATATGAAACATTTCTGAAGAATAGTTATGTACTATTTAAGAAAAGGTTCCTTACTGCATAGTATGAAAAAAATAGTGTACAAGAAAAGTGAGAGGAAAAAACAATAGTAATTTCCTACAGTGTACTTTGTAAGGGAAATTAAGAGGATGCTCGTGCTACCACCCTTTACCAAAATGACTGCGATGATATTCTAGCCTTTTGAGACCTGAATCACCTGATCCTCCTTTGCCATAAGAGACGTCTTCCAGTCACCCCAAAGAACAGATAGAGAAAGCTTGTAAAGACTTTGTGAAGAACATGTAAGGAAGAACAACACTGAAACTTTTTTGTTTGCTGGCTCACTGCTTTTGTCATTGGGTCATGGGCTTTTCTCACATCAGAATATTAGTTGGTATTGAGCACCAGTTGATAATGGAGATATTAACTGTACTTAAAAAGCAGTGCTTTTGATGCAACAGTGCAACAGCTCCTAAATCTCTCTTATTTTGGAGAAGGGATAGAATAAGTTGCCTAGAAAAAAAAACCCTGAACAAAAAGCCCTTCTCTCTTTTCTACCCCTTTCCACAACTGCATTTGTCATCTCCTCCTCTCCCTTCCCGCAAATGTCATTGCCACTGGCACCGCACGATCCTAGCTCAGATTTAACTGAATCTGAGTATTCCCCATGGGGTCAAGGGAATTTGTGTTATACTCCCTACTGGTCCTGGATCCCAGGAACAAGTCCTGGATTTACTAATACACTGCATCTGGGCATGCTGTCTCAGCACAGCTTCTCCTTGAAGCAGTCATCACACTGTGTGACAGCCACTCCACTCTACCTGGGCAGCACCCTTTTCTCCTGTTTATGGATAGTAAACTAAATAGCCAGGGCTCAGGAACAGCTATTCTGCTCGTTAATTTAAACATGTAAGGCTCACGCAAGTAATGGAAGTAATTATAGAAAATTACCCCATACTACAAGACATGAGTTACTGTGGACTTGATGGAACTACTGAGAGATACCTTATGAGAGATGCAATGTGCAATATGACAGAGCAAGCCTGCTGGATAGCCTCAAATTTAATCTGATTCTTCTGAGTATTACACAGACCTGAAGCATATTATATATACATGGACATGCTAATTTTAGTTTATACACAATAACAAATATATGAGACACCACCTGCCTTGTCACACAACTGCTTTAAACTACTTGGCAACCTTTGCAAAAAGCAAAAGGGACCAGAGAAAAGCTGAATCTCTGTGAAAACCAAATGTACTGAAAATATCAGTCATAAAGGAGAAACATGAATTTGCAGTTGCTGTCGAGGAAGTTGTTACACTGGAAGTGACAAACCTAAAGAAATGGTAAGAAAGATAATTGTTTTTCAGTTCTAACAAAGGGATAAATTAACACGGAAAAACTAGCTGAAAATCAGTTCTTACTAATGATCTGAGGGAGGTTCCAACTTCCTCAACTGGAAGAAAGTAATCAACAAAAGAGCAGGCAAGAGGAACAGAGAAAGCTGCTTTAATACGGAGCAGAAAGAAACATGAAAAATGAGAAAGTCCCTGAGAATTTCTTCAGTAAGTGTTAAGGACTACACTCTATGCTGTTAAAAGGAGGAAAAGTCTATTTGGGGATTTTTGTGAGTTATCAATAAATGAGAGATTAGGTAATGATTGTGTGTGACTAACAGCTTTTTTCTTTACACAGCAAAGAGATACACATTTAGGTCAAGAAAAAAGAGACCTCACATAACTGTACAAATAGCCTGAAGGACAGTCTCAAGGTTGCACACAAGCAAAAGTTGTATACAAGTGGTGTGAGAACACAGAGCACACCTTAAAGTTTTAACAGATTGTTTTAAAAGTAAATCCCTTCCAAAGTCAGGATCACAATTTCCTCTTGGCGCAGTTCTGTCAGCCAGTAAAGAGAGGAGGTGTGAGACCTAGCAGAAGATGTTCTGTGCAGATGTTCTGCCAACAAATACATGTATTTACCATTGTGCCTTTCCAGTTGGAAGAGTAAGGATGAATTGTACTATTACTATATTGATAGTACATTTAGGTCCACACTCAAGAATATAACACACTGCCTTTACAATATACTGCCTTGTGTAATGGAATAGTATCCCCCTTATGGTAACAGGCTCCTATAATGCACTTGATCCCAGGTATCACCATTTTTCTGAAAGAAATGTGAACAGGTTTTATTTTCAGAGAATAACACATTTTGAACCACTTCACAGTATTTTAAGTATGTTGTCATTGATAGAGCCCCTTCCACAACCAACGTTTTTGCCAAGTTACAAACAATGAAACCAAAATACAAAATAAACGATATCTAAATGAGGAATGCTAAGAATATATTACTGTTTGTTACATTACCTCTACATTAACTTTATCTCAATAACCTGGCAGTTCAAATCTAAAAATAAATTCACCTTTGTTCCCTGAGAATGAAGTGAAGAGTTCCTCAAGTTTCTCAAATTCCAGACTGCTTGGAGCTAACTCTATTCCTCAGATTCTTCTGCTGAATTTCTAGTGATCATGTAACATCACACTGCTGGACTGACTGTCTCAGAAACTAGACAGGACTCAGTGTACCTCAACAATAACTTAACAG